ACCCTCAGCCCATGCCCCACTGCCCGTCCAAAACATACACCCTATGACTACCCGCTCCAAAGTCGGCATATCCAAACCCAAGCACATCCTTAACCTTAACACTACAGCCCATATCTCCCCATTCCCACCTACTTATCGTAGTGCACTTAAGGACCAAAACTGGTACAATGCTATGTGTGATGAATTTAATGCTTTAATAAGAAACGAAACATGGGAATTAGTACCCCCCTCCCCCACACAAAATGTTATTACCGGAAAGTGGTTCTTTCGCCACAAATTTGGCCCTACAGGTGAACTGTCCAGGTACAAAGCTCGTTGGGTGGTCCGTGGATTTAATCAGCGCTTTGGAATCGACTATGACGAGACTTTCAGTCCGGTTGTCAAACCGGCCACTGTGTGGGTAGTCCTCAGTCTTGCCCTCACTCGGGGATGGCTGATTCATCAGATGGACGTCAAGAATGCCTTTCTTAATGGTACTCTCCAGGAAACTGTCTATGCCAGCCAACCATCCGGCTTCCAGGACCCTGCCAGACCACACTATGTTTGTAGGTTGAAAAAGGCTCTATATGGTCTAAAGCAGGCTCCTCGGTCTTGGCATCACCGCTTTGCCAGTTTCCTGCTCACACTGGGTTTTCGCGGTTGCAAGAGCGACACCTCTCTTTTTGTCTATTCACATGGGGTTGCCTATTACTGTATGTGGATGACATTGTCCTCACCGCCTCCTCTACTTCTCTCTTCACTTGCCTCTCTCAGAAACTCAAAGGGGAGTTTGCTATGACAGATATAGGTGACTTGAATTTCTTTCTCGGGATTAGTGTGCAGCGCACTGCGAGCGGCATGTTCCTTCATCAAACGCAATTTGCTCATGACATCTTAGAGCGTGCAGACATGCTCAATTGCAAGCCCATCTCCACTCCGGTCGACACCAAGACAAAGATGGCAGCTTCATCTGGTACTCCTCTGCCCGACCCCACCATTTACAGATCCATTGTTGGCGCATTACAGTACCTCACCTTCACACGTCCAGATCTCACTTATGCCGTACAGCAGCTTTGTCTTCATCTTCACGCCCCGCGCAGCACTCATCTCACAGCCATGAAGAGGGTTCTTCGTTACCTTCATGGCACCGTCACTCATGGGATTACACTTCATCGCACCAGCACTGCATCTCTACAGGCCTACTCAGATGCTGACTGGGTGGGCTGCCCTGATACTCGTCGCTCTACTTCTGGGTATTGTGTTTTCCTTGGCGATAATCTCATCTCTTGGTCCTCCAAGAGACAAGCTACCACATCTCGTTCCAGCGCTGAGGCTGAATATCGAGCCGTTGCCAATGCAGTAGCCGAGACCACTTGGATCCGAAATCTACTTCTAGAACTGCAGCAGCCGCCTAAGCACGCCACACTAGTTTTCTGTGACAATGTAAGTGCCGTCTATCTGTCCTCTAATCCTGTTCAGCACCAACGCACCAAACATATAGAGGTTGACATTCACTTTGTTAGAGACAAGGTCGCACTGGGACAAGTTCGTGTTCTTCATGTCTCATCATCCTCCCAGTATGCTGACATCTTCACTAAAGGATTGCCATCGCTTCTCTTCTCCGATTTTAGACACAGTCTTGGCGTCCGTCCTTCCCCGGTCACCTAGTCGGGCGCATGTTAAATATATTATATATTTAATATAGTATCCTGTATATATGGTAGCTTTATGTTAAATATATTATATATAGTATCCTGCATATATGGTAGCTTTCCTTATGTATAGGTTTACTTAGTTACTCTTTACACCTTTGTTGTAACTATATATACGGAGCCTTGTTCTCCTTGTTTAATTGAGAAAACAATATTTCTTCAGTTATATATTGAGAAAGTTTTTGAAATAATCATTGTTATTTGCTAAAAGTCAAAATTTGAAACAAGAACATCTCAATTGAATCCCACATGAGTAGGAGGGTGTGTGTAGGATTGTAGACATACCATACCCCTACTCAAAAGTTCAGAGGTAATTTATACAGTAAATCACTTTGATTGAATCACTGCAAAGATATAAGGTTTTCATTACTAACGGACGAACTATAGTGATTGAACTTTAAACATATACTTCTATTAGTTAATTGATTAAATATTATGTGGGAAATTTTGGTAGCATGTAAATTATTAACCAAAGAGTCAATACAAAGTACACATACAAAGCACATATACAATGCATCGGGGCATACCCCTAAAACATCAAAGGCAACTCGTGCCATACAAGACAAGTTTACATAGCAACAAAAAGAAATAATAAAAGTTTCCCTTGTCGCAGCCCAGGACGCCATCATATGGCCATAACAAGGGCGCAGCGGGATAATCGCTCGCAGCATCGAAGTCAGGGCCAGGGTGTGACGCTGCATTTCAGATTCATATGTAAAAGAAACGGCACACGATGTACACTACGTGATCCCCAAGGGGTTACTCGCACCATCGTTCGCCATTTCCATGTACATCCTCTAAGCCGCAATCAGTGATTATCGAACCTTCCAAAAGTATGGAAAAGGGAGAGCAAAAGGCCATAACAGCATGGTGGAGAAACCCTTGCAGTAATGGCAGACTGCCCAGGAAGTTCCCTAAAACCAGTCATGTCAATCAGTGATCATCAAACCTTCAGTCTGTCACAACTAGTTGGTTGGGTCAAAGTCCAGGCCAGAAGAGTAATTAAACCATCTTATGTGGGAAATTTCAAACTGCAGGCTGAAGCTTTAAATAATGCACAAGCTCCACCTAAAGGTTAGAAGGAGGAAAAAACATGAAATCATACATGAACGCAAAATGACCGTGACTTAAATTGCATACATGAAACACATCAAAAGCTTGACAACTTGGGGCCTAAAATGAGAGAGACTTGATTAGATATTAACCCAATTATGAAGGGTTTTGGGGCATAAAATGAGATGCTTTGGGCATATTGATATACTTCATTACTCCCTAGTCCCTACATCTTGATATTAGTTTTCCACTTTCTTGTTTTAGTTTGTCCATATTTTGTTGTTCACTTTCCATACTTTAGTAAAGAAATTAGGATAAACTGTCTAAAAATAACCTAGGTATAGGGTGTTTGCATGACACAAATGAGTGACAAGCTCAACTGTGAAATCTATACAGATGAAGTATTTAATTAACCTCCAACATGCTGACCAACTGCGAATCAGTTGTTTCCGTCTTCCAGGAACGGTAATGTCCAACCTTTCGAAGACAAGCTTTGTCTGGAAACATTTGAAGATCCATCTCCCTTCGTAACCATTCTACAATGTTAATAGGTCATATATAGTATGGTTTCTAAGTTATCTTTGTTTTTTAGAATCTTAGCAAATTATTCTCTTAGTTTGTGAAACTCATATTTGGTCATGAAGATCTGAAAGGTTTGGCATAGTCTTGACATGGTTTGAAAGTACTAGGCTTGACACATTACTCTTTCAATTCACTCCAACCAGAACGAGGTAAAACCATTGAGTCGGTTCTTCAATTGTCTAA